TTGGGATATCAACATCCTACTGTTGATCTCTAGCACCTCTCATGCGATAAAAGCGCGGTAGGGTTAAATGTGGAGCTCATGTTGTTTCATAATTGCGCGAATCAATGTGGGTGTGAGGTGATGAACTCTGTCACTTTTTATGCATATATGTGATGAAGCGGGATGTAAGTATGCTTGCTCAGGTTGGCCACGTGCTCCCTCTACCCCTCTTGATATTAGGTGGAGATGTTGTATTCACACTCTATTAATAAGCGCTTAGACTCTCTTTCTGTAATCGGCGCAAGGTGTATGAACTATGAGATCCTTTTTTTCTCCGTTCCGTGCAAGTCCGCTTTTTTTTTAGTTTGATTTGAGTTTAAGGTACCGGCAGAGCTACGAAACCGGCGTATAGTGTTTTCGTGACAATGGCCGTCCGGCACACACCTCGCATTCCGGGGACGACCATAGTTCATTGCTCCTGATAAAAAGACGTACAGATAGCTGCACAAGTTTTGCAGCTGAGATAGTCCCTCTGTTTGTAAGGTTCGTTTGGTCCATTATAACTGGGAGGCCGCGTGATAGTCATTAGGCGATGCCGTAGCGCAAATATGCGTGTAAAATATGTCAGGTGATGATTTTGTGTCACGTGCGCATGTAGCAGATCGTGTAGTTGCGTAGTTATTACGAAGGATTTTATTGCGGCAAATTGTCCGATCCTTCAACCGTTTTCTTGTATCACGGTGATTTGCGTAGAACGCTGCTATCGATATTATTTCTGTTATGTTGTGTAACTGTTTAATGGTGTTATCTTTATTGTTACCCCCTTCCCCGTCAATGTATAGTGTTGGTCCACAGCGCAAACGTATTAGTTTAACAAAATCCGCATCTAAAATTGTGGCATAGATATGTTATTTTCCCCTGTGCAATTCCAGTCTCACATCTCCCATCACATCGCCATTAACAAATAACGGAAACAGACCGAAAACATTTAAAAAAAATTAAATAATACTTTATTCCGAGCGTGCTTGCTTTTCTCTTTGAAAGTCATCACATAACGGCATTGTAATACACGGTTCGGCTGCATTAAATATTACATATCTTCCGTAGTTCTCTATTTATAGAGCCCTGATGAGAAGACTTCTAGACAAACGTGGATCATAAATATATCAGCAATTAAACAACATCTTATACATTTATTTTCACACAATACGTCTCTTCGCAGTATCAACACTAATTCGGCAGACTTTTATATTTGATCCAACTGGTAGATAGGCTGTATTTACACCATAAAGGTGCACAGCTGATATAAAGGGACACCTATTGGTTAAAGCATGTTATTGAATTTATTATTAGATATTAATAGGATCCCTATAAAGTATATTCATTACTCGTTATTCTCTGCTAATAGTTAATTAAAGACTGTATATAATGACTATTTTGCACATCCCTTTCAAGATTTCAAGATTTTCTAAGGTTTATTGACATATCATATTCACAAACGGTGTAGTTATACAATGAATGAAAAACTTGGGTCGCAGGTTCCTCAATAGTGCATTACAAGACATCTATCAATATTTGTGCATACCTCCAGCAATGTTAACTATGTTGAAGCACTTATTTTAACTGATATTGTATTATACTCTTATAAGATGTATGTAGATATTTAATCTCCGGCCTTGTCAGGTATTGAACAATCAATAAATAAAGAACACAGAATTATTAAATATAAAACACCGAATTTGTGTGATTATACTAAATGATTTACAAATAAACACCAGTGCATATTTACAACTGTTACACATGCTGATGTAATGCAAATGTTTCCAACTTGGGATCAATAAAGTATATCTTATCTTAAGATGATCGATGGCAACTGCCATATTTGCAAAATTTGCGATGCGGTGGACCCGTTCAAATCCAGTTTTGGACAGTCTGCCGTGGTTCCATCCCATTTCAAGTGCTGTTTGACGCTCGGCGTAACCCTCGGAGCACACTCTCCAATCACAAAGCTTGAGGACTATCACGGGGTTTGTCAAGCGAATCGGAGAGAATACTTACTTCTGGGTGTATTATTCTCTAAAGCAAATTAGCTGCTCCGACCCTCGGTCCTGACCAGTGTTGTCTAGTTACTGAAAACCAGTAACTAGTTACCATTACTAGTTACTTCATTTAAAAAAAAAAACTCAGTTACGCATTAGTTACTTAAAAAAGGGCTTCCATTAATGCCCTTATAGCCTTCATTTCAGTACTGTTATTGCATTGGAGAATAATACAATCTGTTGATCAATAAGTAGCAATAGAAATAGTAGAAATAGCCTGCATACGGTCTACAACATACCGTGCAATGGCTTTATCAACTTGTCCCTGGCTAGCAGTCCCTCTGTTAAAATCCAGCCGCTGTTGCTTAGGTGGAGGTGGAGTGGCGTCGGATGAGTCTGGGTCTGTGGTCTTAGCTACTAGCTTCGTCCCAGCATGTTGTTTCCGCAGATGTTTCAACAGATTTGAATTGCTGTTTTGGGCAGTAGATAGGATCTTTGACCCGCCAAGAAAAAACTTACATTTAACTAAAACGTTCTTTTCTTTGTGCTCGACAAAAGTGAAATTGTGAGAATACCTCCAGGCGGAGAAACTCGACTTGAGCTCCGCTGCCGCCATGATAGTCTTGTTAGTAAACACAAACACGCCCACAGCACGTCTCCGGTGTTACAGGGTGGTTTAGGCTAGGTTGCAGCTCCACCCTGTGGATGTATTGTGCCTGTGTTATATATATATCTGCCTCACGTGACTATACCTCAGTTGTATGATTACCTGCTTAATGTGAATACACGGCGTTCGTCTGGGAGCCGAGACTATATTAAAAAAATAATGGAGTAACTCACCATGTAGTGACGGTAACTGAGTTACTGAATTTAAAAAATAATGCGTTAGAGTACTAGTTACTGCCAAAAATAACGGCATTACAGTAACGCGTTACTTTGTAACGCGTTAGTCCCAACACTGTTGTTATATGGGAACTCTAGCTATTTTATAATGTATGCATTTCTGCAAGAAATGATCCAAATACAGGAAGGCTTGCCCCATTACACTGGTATATACTGTCAAAATATGTCAAGTATCAACCTCAACAAACTTTCTTGTTACTACTGTTAGCCTAACTTTTTTTCACCAGGAAATAGATGGTACCAAACTGGGACCACATACGGTAGTGCTAGGGCCCCAGTAACAATTACAATTGTTTGCCTGCTCCCAAACAAGAAATGGTGTCAAATGCTGGATAATCCTGCCTGTTTTCTATTATTAGGAGATTTATTTGTCTTTCAATCTCCTAATCATCCGGTTCAATAGCTCTACTAGAGCGCAGTTTAAGATGGTTGTTAGTGCCAATAGATTTAATTCAAGACAAAATGAGTTGCACAAATATTTTCAACTTTTTTGCTAAATAGTTAGCAGAACAACCTGAGGAATTCCCAAGCCTTTTACAGCTGACTTTGAATTATTAGTTTTTGCGGTTAAGGCCTGATTTTTCAAAACTTGGGGAAAGCATATGTCATGAGAAGCAGCTACAAACGTGGTCCTTTTGGGATGCATTAACACATCATTGGAAGTTTGGGAATGGGTCCCCTCATGATTACTATACTCTAATATGCTGGATGGCATCTCTGTTAAATGTGTACACTGACAGACAGCTTGGCACAGCAGGCTGAAATTCATCCAACGAGGCGAGCGGTGCTCCTCACATCGATGCCCAGCCAGCCAGGGTGATCTAATGGATGATGATGGATAACAGCCCCCTCCTGTGTACATGTGACCCAATCACCACAGGGGAGTGAACAAGTCCACATGGCCTTTGACCCCCTCCTTGAGCTCGTTTGAGGGGGAGGTGAGGGAGACGAGGCATAGTGGAGCCAAAACTTCCTCTGCAAGGGTCTCTGCTTAACTTTGCATGGGTGCCATGTGACGGAATCCTAACACCCAGTGTATACGACATGCCATCACAAGGTGAACTTTGCATACCTTGTCTAAAATGTGGCCTTAGATGTAAAGTAAAGCAAAATAACCTGGCCATTCTGAATACAACTTCAAACTAGGGTTAGGGTTGGATTAGAGTGAGCGTTGGCTGTCCATTATCCTGTTGCAAGCAGATATCGGGCCAAGACTTCCGTGTGCCGCTCATTGTTTACGGTCTGATTTACCACGTTTGCAGCTGCTTCTCATGACAACTTACGATGCTAGAATGGAGTTTAGTTTAGATGGGACGTCTACAACAGGATTGTTTCAAAATAAGCACGCTTAAAAGCAAATGTTAAGGTAATAAAAGCCTGTCAATGGGTTCCAAGATAGCATTTCTGTCGATGCATATGGCCTTTTTTGCTCTCCGCACAGACTGTTGACCTGCATTCAACCAAAAGATGCTCAAACTGCTGTTAATACAGCTTAGACTACAAACCGACTGCAAATGGAGACCGGAGCGTTTCCAATACTAACATTTTCTCCTTTATCCTCCAGTTTCTGCATTCCAGTTCCTACATGAGTTTTACCTTGATCACTCATTTCATATTGATTAATGCTTCGTTGAAGATGTTCAACGCCAACTAAAATGGAATGTGTCGTCAACCCACATCTTGAAATTAGGTACCCTAGGCATGGTTACCCTTTACAGCTATACTTCAACAGCATAAAGAAAATCAAACTTGTGGTGTAATTGAAGAACAGTTTGGTTATGGGACGGCCTTATTTTATAAACCATGCACATCCACAATCATGGAACTATTGGTTACTGTATTGGTTTTATGACAACATATGGAAGCTTAGGTGTAGCTTAAAACTGATAAAGAACTGTTAAAAATGGTGGTGAAGGAAGTCGTTCATTCTAAGGTGGTTTCCAATAAGCTCTATTATTTGTCAGATATTCTATTTTAATGTCTTTTTACCCTATGTATATATTATGAAGCACTTTTGATAGTTTCAAAGTCATGTGCATAGGCCTCTGTTAAAGCTCTTGTGTTTTCTTTGTTTCTTAGGGCTCAACAAAGTCTTCAAAGAGCATGGAGTCACGCCGCAGACCATCGAGGTAGGAACTCATCTCTTATTTTCAGTTCTCTTCCAGCTGCACATTTCCCATAAAAGGCTTCATTCGGCTTATTGGACTACCTTTTTACAATTATCTTTTAAAGGCTTATCTCCACTGTTTGCTCCAAAAGCACAAAAAGATAATGAAGGAAGTGAAATGAGTTTCAAGAACAACCTTATCACAGTCAGATATGAGGCATTTAAAAGGAAAGGTTTGGACGTAATATGATATTTGCAGAGTTGCCAGGGTTAGTGAAGCTACATGCCCTGCCATTGAACTGGACCCCACACTGTTCAGTTGGACACAAAGATATTTGGTGTCAGCCCCTCTCACCTCTGTCCTTAGGGAGTCACAGATGTTGTCAGTTGTGTAATTAATGTGTAAAACTCGACACCACAACAGCCCGTGCTGAAGTGTGAGTGACAGTATGACTCCCTCGCAGCAAGTCATATTATAACTATATACGGAGTTCTAAAAACAGTTCAACGTCTGATACACCGTCACCATTAACAGCACGTTCAGAGTTTTAGATTACAGTCATTTTTCACCCATATAAAGGAAAATCAAAGGCTTTTCAAAAGTGCATAGTAGCTCGGTCATGTGACAGTTGTCTCTTGTGTATTGCTCTGGCTGAAGGAATGTATCCAATCAAACTAGTGGGTCCAGACAGGCTTATTTACATTTTGTACAGACAGATTTGTATCCGTATGCAGGGTTGTGCTTCAGAGCTGATTCACAGATACACACCCTCATCCGCCTCAAAAGAAACAAGATTTAAATGTAAGATTGAATAGGATAGACATTTTAGGCAAATACACAAAAGTGTTTTAGTTTTGTCTACTTTGTTACTTTTGGTTCTAGGCTAACAATTAAACTCATTCCCAAACATAGCTGATTGTAGAGGTCACACCACTCTGAAATGTAGTGCAGGTACTTCTCACATTGTTCTTTAAAGTTAATTATATCCAATAGCAATCCTATTCATCTTACAGGCTAATCTACTACTCACAGGTAACCACATCTCATTTCAAAAATATAATTTCTAAAATAATTGTTCAAACCATTAAACACCACGAGTTGAGAGGTTACTCTTAACATCCATAATACAATCTAAATTTCAAAAGCTCCAATGGAGATCTGAAATGGAGAACAAATCTTGACTGTCACAAGACCGCTACCAATAATTTAATCCGAACAAAACTAAAAGGTAATTGGATGGTCGATTGGCCTGTCTACTCTGAAAAGATACTCACTAGGAGCATAGTGTGAGTTTTATTCAACTTAGATATGATTGAAATGTCCAAACTTTTAGTCTACTAGAACTCTACTAAAAACAGGATGAGGGTGAAACTGCTTAAAACTAACAAGTGCATTTGACGTAGAAGACCAAAAATAATGCAGGACAGGAAGTATACAGAGCTCTACCGCTTTTCAAAATAAATTGGATCAGGCCGGAGATTTTGGGCCGAAAACCAAAACAATGAGCTTAAACGTTCAAAGGCTGGGTGATAATTCTCTGCTGTTTTGTCATAACATGAGATACATTTGACATATAGTCAGATGATCCATTCTAAGTACAAACACAATGACTAGTGCAGTATTAATATGGAATAACTGCACTGATAACCATAATAATGTCAATCCTCAAGTGTTACGTTTCATTTAGACTCAGCATTGAGACTGTGAGAAATGTTCACCATGAGGAAGTGTAGGATCAAGGAGGCCTCTCAGTGTTTTGATAGAAGAGGTTCCCTCATATGACTCAGAAATATCTGGCGAGATGTTTAACGGCCCAATGTCTCAGGTTTCCTGATAAAACATTCACAGTCGGTGTTGATCCAAATGCACCATTGAGATCAGCACGGCTCTGAAATTGAGCGTGAGGAGATAACGAGTCATTCTTTAAACGCAACGTGCAAGAAAATGAGCAATCGCTTCATCTGTGGTGCTGATGAGAAGCAGGTTTGAGCTCAGCCAGTCAACGCATGCTGGTGTCTGGAAAAGAACCAAACCACAAGTCTACGACTGCAGCCAGAGGCCAAAGACATACATATGCAAAGACAGAGGAAACAGAGGACGAAATGCAAAGAGATATAGAAAAAAAGGGACACACAGAATAATAAAGACATATAAGTAAAAGAACTAGAAAAAACCTGACATACAGTACTAACAAGGAATTGGTTAAAAGATGATAAATCAATTAATTCAAAATGGACGAATCTAGTAAATGACTTACTGTATACAGAATGGAAAAGATAACCATGAGAATAACAAATCTAGTTCATATGTTTGCTGATAGATGTGAAATATAGAACACAAAACATTACTAATATCCCTCTGGTAATATGTGACAATTAATTAATTTTCGATTAATATTAATTATATATCCGTTTACTATATCCTTAAAGTCCTTTTTTTCTATGTTTTTTTAAATATTATTATTATTCTTTTTTAATCTCTGCAAAATCTTAAAAAGCAACTTAAAAAAGAAGTAAAATATAAAAAGGTTATGCAAATCACAAACACAACAACTTTAAACTAAGATGTTTGCTGCAACATATGAGAGAACATGCACTATGTCAATATAATTAATGTATTCATTTACAAACAGTTAAAAAGAGAATACAATCATAAGACGCAATGGAGATATGTGAACAACTCCTAACACAAACCAAATACCCTTAAAACGAATCTAACCCTACCATCACATATACTGCATGTTTCCCTCCATCACTGCAGATGCATCATTTCCAGTAATCAGGTTGTGAGTGGCTCCAGATGTACAGTACAGAGCAGTGCTTACAGTATAGTAACCCTCAAGAGCTCCTCTCTCCCAGACATATGAGCAATTTCCTTCAGGAGCCGCGCACAGCTGACAAATGTGGGAAATATGCTGCAGTCTGGGCCCCTGGGATCCAGACGCCTCCGCCCCCACCTCCTCATATCGCCGTGCCATAAAGTTCAAGTTCTGAAAAAGACCAGATCAGCTCTGGAATTTTAAAGAATCGCTCACTTTGACGTGAAAAATATATCATTACCTTTTTTAATGTATATAAAGCTTTCTTTGTGTTAAACTATTTTCCTATCAACAAGCCATGTTTCATAGCTCCAACAATTCTCTAGAGTAATATCCTTATTGAAGATAATGAGATAAGTATTGGATTTTTGGACTCTTATGCAGTCAGTTGGCAAGCTTTACTGACCACGCTGCAGGTCTTTCTGCGTGGTCATTTTCTGTTTTAAGTAAAAGCTTAATTACAGATCGATGGAGGCATTTTGATCGAGGACTACTTTCTTTCTGACCCGATTTGACACCAGACCAACTCCACCAATAACCATCAGATTGTTGGTTTTGGAGCCTACGTACTGTAATCTTTGGTATGCTGCAATATTTTCACAATCCTCCATGTTTAATCAATTTCCCCTCACTCTATTTCCCCTCTTACCCACATCTAACAACACAACATGTGTTTAATACAGAAGAAGAACATGTTCTTTTCCCTCCGGGATCAAGTGATGTCATCGGGGATTGGGTATTTATATGCTGCGTTGCCTTATCCTTATTAGGATATTTGTTTCTTGTAGAGCTTCAGTGTTGTGTGTATCTGAAGGGTAATTGGCTGCATTGAGAACATTCAGGACCTCAGTGTACTCGGTGATGTAAGCAGCCCAGGGGGGGTGCTTGTGAACTGTCAACTGGAGGGCGGGGGGAGCCTCGCTGCGGGGAATCTGTGGACCTCTGTCGCCTTTCAGTTCAATTTACATGATGCATTTTAAACACAGTTAAATAAATAAAGGGCGGTGCCGGCCGTCAGCGAACCGAGCCCGGTTGTCAACGGCCTGCTGGCGACCGGCTCAGTTCGCTGACGGC